AACCACCTCCATAACTTCGCTCAGAGAATCGTTTGGCAGATTTTGAATGCGGATTTGAAATCAGCATCGAAAAATACGTCTAGCAGTATAGGTCTCATTTCCAATGGCCACTTCGACTTGGGATCCTTCCCTTGTTAGATTACTTATCGTCAGCGAGCGGCTTTCTCCCACACTTATCGTCGCTTGTTCACGGAGCTTGGAACTCCAGATTTCCCTCTACAACTCCGTGTATAGCGAGCGAAAGTGCTAGCACCGACCTTTCCACAGCGCACTGATTGACTGCATGCTCATCCTGCTTCCGTTGAGCCTGAAAGAATTATTGTGCAACATTTTCATTCTCATGATCATCTTCTTCGTTACGTTCAGACTTAAGTCGATCTTTCCATAAGCGTTGTCACATTGGCCAACCCTTGTCCGCCTGCATTATATTCGGCGGTTTCGTCTGAGAAGCTGCCGTGGATCTCCGCTTTTGTCTTCCTATTTTGAATGACGTTATCTCGGGAGCAGTAATAAGTTTGTGCGTCATGTATCGCTTCACAACGTTTATCTTTTCACGTTGACAACAACGTTCTTATAGAATAGCAAAATTCTGGCAGCGAAGTTGTCTTAACGAAACATTCTTATGTAGTTACTTTTGGCATCACGGTTGCACTGAGCTACAATTACCGCTTTTGTCTCAACAGTATCAAAGGCCTTCTTGAAATCAATACACTTCGAACATAACGGCATCCTCTACATTCGCGAAACTTCAGTGAGTCTTGTAGCACTGTGGATGGGATCAATTGTACTAAACCCTCTTCGGCTCACTAGTACGGCTGTTCTTCTACATCCTGCCAACCCTATTGAAGGTGACACGTGAGAAACGTTGTAGATTACAGACATCGGCAAGGCAAATTAGGCAGGCATTTATTAGTACCCAAGCTCTTCTATTCGGTAGCACAGTCTTGCCAGTTTTCCACTACATGCGCACTTTGCATTCCGAGCTGGAAATAACTGGTGAAGAACTCTTTAGATGCTCTGGTTTAATCATTTCGGTAACAACCATCGCACGACCCTTCATGATAGAATGCCGAATTTTAGAAGAAGTGTTGAGTTACGACATATTCATTCTGCCAAAAAAGGTATGTAGGTGGTAAACGTGGCTGTCGGCAGAGTTAGGAGTTGTATTTGTAGATGGCTTTCTGCGATAGTCCAGTGCCCTCGAGATGCAAAATTAGATCCGTCGATAATTGCGGATGCTATTTCCGATCTTCAAGGTTCCGCTCGGAACTGCTCCTCTTCTCTCATCAAACCTTCCTTGAAGACTTTTCTGAATAACTCCGCAAGTTCGGACGTTAGCCAATGATTGCCTGTAGCTCGTGCTATTTCACCTAGCGTATCAACTCGAGTGTCTCCGGAGGTAGAGTCCCCTAGCAAATCATAGGATCTCCGCTTTCTTAGCGTTACCGTGGATATGTTCTAGGCTATAATCCTCATTGCTGTTACGGAGTCTCCCATAAACTCACAATGGGAGCGAAGTGATCTTGACGAGGTCTTGGATCTTTGTGGCGTAAATTTCGCAGCTCTCTCTCTGAATTCATTGAAAAACGAAGTGTCACGAAGAAGACGATAGCTTCATCACCTGTGAACTTTGGATTAACAGCGACGCAAGTTACTCGAAACCTTCTTTGGAGGTGAGCTAACCTGCATATTATCATGGAACTCCCTTTTAGGTGACTTTCAAGTTCATCGCGAATGAGAGAACTCTTCAGTTGCGAATTACCATGAATTATCACGAACGACATGCTGAACTCAGACACACTTTTTCCGCACATTCCATTCCCTTTCGTGAGATCTTCAAATAAAGGTCTTTAGCTGTTTTTCCGAAATCGTTTGGTGTTGAAATACCGACGATGGCCTTGAAGGAAGTGTGGCTATTTTTGTAGAGCATATCCATTCCAAACAGAACACTTCCTGTTCATTATGCCATTGAGTTGGAACAGAGGTAGTTATAACTGGGGTTGAGTCAGGTGCTCAATCGCAACGGTTCGATTCGGGTTGTCAGATTTTCGTGCAGCTCATGTGTTCCATGGCCATGAAACATGCATGTTGGACGCCTGACGTCACTTATTCCGAGGAAGTTTCTGTCAAGTATCAGAGAAAGTGTGGCAGCATACGAAGTCTTTTCACCTCGACCAGTTTGATGACGTCGTAATCCTGAGTTTGATGATCCTCTCAAGTTTTTCATCATTAGATCTTCGATACATGCTTCCGATGCAAGCGTTTGCGCAGTGAAAGTGAAGGTCGCCTTCTTAATATGTATCCTTTTAGACAGCCTGTTTTGGCTCAGGGACTTTTGCAGGCTTCCCTGAGCAGTACCCCAAAGCGATGGTTTGCGGGCACCCTGGAGTTGAGGAAAAAGAGGCTCATTCGTACAAGCGCTTCTGGAATACCAGAATCCGCGAGTAAACTGCCAGTCTCAAAGCTGGGGACTGTGTAGACTGCGGCTGGACAAGGGCTGGTTTATCAAAGCCACAGTTCACGATAGTTTTGGGTAACCCAGACTATGACGAAAAATGGAAGATAAGATGGAAAATAGTGCGATGGAGGCGAAGGAACTGCGTCAAGCGGTGTTCCCAAAAACAAAAAAACCCTTCAAAAAATCGTTAAAAAGGGGGCTGGACGAGAATGAGACCAGAAGAATGAAGAAAGGTGGGGCGTTTGGACGTGCTGCGCGCAGCGCGTCATTGCGTATGTGTGGTGCAAATATCTGACTACGGTAAGCAAAAATTCATCTTATAAGCACAAGTAAACAAAAATATCTAGTTACATCGAAAACGGCCCACTTTTTTCAGCCTTTTGTGGTAGGAAATTAAATAAGGGATTGCAGCAGCGAAAAGGATAACGGTGGAAAAAAGAATGGTAGAAAAACATCGCCTCATCTCTCGGCGATCAGCTGATTGTGTGTGGGTCCTGGAACGAATGCTCGACGAATATTGCCTTGACACTCGTCTAACGTGACATCAATCAAGAAGCGGGAAAGCGAATCAAGACAGCGACAGGGCTTTCACTATGCCCTGACCGCCGAGATCATGGGAGCGAGAGGGACCCTTCTACCACCCATGGGGGCCACTGAGTATCCCTAAGGGGAGAACTCAGTAACCATTTTTGTCGTGAACCGTGCCTTTAAGGACGGTCCCAAACGCCCTCCTGGTCACTTCTCAGTCACTTGAAGTAACCTTTCGGCCGAGCTCTTGGACAGGATACCATTAGCACCCGTGGAATCGTCACACACTTATGTATGGAAACACCTCCGAGAACGTGGAACTAAATTACACTACATTGTGCTTGAAGTATATGAATTTCAGTTTGAAAAAGCGCGCATAAAACTAAAACTAGACTGGGAAGAGTTGAAACTCACCAAGACCGAACGCCGATACGATATTTTTGAGGAAAGCAAAAGGGAGCCAGTCGTCACTCACTTCTATGAAAGTGAGTATTAGATCCAAAATCGAAAGCCTCGCTGCCTCCATCATCTAATATTTGGGCTTTAACAGCCTTTTTACCGCTGCTAACCTTTGGTAATTACAGCGTGCCTGACATCAGGGTACTGAGTGTCGGAATGATTTCCCCAAATAATCACGTTCTTCACGTTCCCAATTGAGACCCCAGCCTTCATTGCCAACTGCAAAAAAGTAGTGTAAAAACAAGAAGAATTTATGTCAGACCTCACCTGGGCTCTTCCTGCATTCGAGGGATGGGAGAGGGAGGACAAACTATTATTTACTAACAAATGAGACCACCCATGTCACTGTTGTCAAGCTTGCAGCAGATCGTACTGAGATCCTTTATTCGGTGGAGCACAAACAGTCTTGAGATAGGTGACTGGATTGACTGATGAACGGTGCACAGGAGAGTGCAGTCAAGAAGTCGAAAAAGGGCTGGTCGGAAAAGTGAAGAGGATGAGGCACCTAGAGCTTATATAGGCAACATGTTTTGTAGTACATACTATAAACATTGTGATACCATATCAGAACTTGTCGGTGTAAGCAAGGGAAGTTGAGTTTCTGTTCGGTACAGAAACTCCCAACAGGACAACAAACGAGATCGAGATAAATTACATCTCGCCTTAGAATGAGGATAAGCAACAATACAATAGCATCAATAGTTTGAGATCACTTGCATTGCAGTCGATGACCTTCTGTTCATTTCGAGGTGCTGCTTGTCTGTGGCATTCCAGAAACATTTGTAGATTTTCTCGGCGCCGTCAAAATTTCTTTAGTCGTGTCGACTCCTCTGATGGATGACATTGGTTCTTCTATAGCTGTGTTCAC